TTCACAGCAGCAAAATGGAGGATACAGCAGAGCAGCAGGAGACAGCAGTGTAGCAGGGAACAGCAGAGCAGCAGGAGACACCAGAGCTGCAGGAGACAGCGGAGACTCATCGTGGCCCAGCTCAGTGCCTGCTGCCCCACACTGGGAGCCGCAGCAGCGAACAGTCTCCCCTTTATGCGGCGATGTTTACTGTTGCAGAAAGGAGACACTGTCTCCTGCTGTGGAGACTCCTTTGGGTGTGTCCTGCAGCTGCAGCATCCCCCAAGAGTTGAAGGCCCTTGATGAGGAGCTGAGGCCCTCAAGGAAAGGAGACAGACAAAAGTGGAGTCTCCTTCGTCTCCTCGCTAAGTGGCTGAGGACGCCAGCGTGGAGACAGAGACTGAGAGGAGGAGACAACGACTCAGGAGACAGCAGCACAGCAAACAACGAAAAAGGAGACACCCCACTCCCCCCACTTCTATTGCCCTATGGCTCCTCTGTTACACGCTTTGGTGACTGGGCCTCAGATCTTGACCTCGCGCTACTGCTGCCGTCCCGCTGCAGCACCGGAGCATCAAAGGAGACGCTACAACACTCGTCTTGCTGCTCTCGACTGTCTCCTTCTTCTCCCTGCTGTCTCCTTTGTGGCCAGGAAAGGGACTGTCCCCACGACTTTCTATCAAAGGCAGACGCCGCTGCAGTCCTAACAAGACTTGAGGGTCTCCTCCGCAGCGAGGTGCAGCTGGAGGGCCTCTTCACCTGCCTGGATGTTGTGGTGCCCCAGCGAGCTCCACCGGTGCTGCGTGGGGTGTACAGACACCCGAGAGGCCCCCAAAGACGGCCAAGCAAAGCGGCCTCGTGCTGCTCCTCAGCCAGCAGAGATGTGTCTCCTAATGGAGAGTCTCCAAGGGCCCAGAACCCTTCTTACGTCCCTTCAGTCCTGGGGGGAAAAGGAGACAGAAAGGAGACTGGCAGAGACAGCGCAGGGGCAGAGTCAAGCCCAAAAGAGGCCTCTAGGGAGACGGGAAAAACCAAACAAACCAAAGTCCTCACTGCTGCAGGGCCTGCACAGGGAGGGGACAGCAGAACAGCCTTGGGGGTATCTCCACCGGGGCCCCCGGCGGGGCCCCCCGGGCCCCCCTCATCAGA